AGATGGCCCAATCCTTGCGCCCCTGAACCCATGTAGGAGACCCAAAAGAAGCTCCTGGCTCCTGGCTTCGGATTAGCTCAGCTCTGACCACTGCAGCCATTTGGGGAGCAAACCAGTGGATGGAAGACCTCTTTCTCTGCCTTTCAAATAAATCTTAAATAAGAAAGAGGGAGGGAGAGACAGGAAAGGGGGGAGGGAGGGAAGTAGGAATGAAGGAAGGGATGGAGGAATGGAGGTGAGGGAACAAAGAGATGCCTCAGCTGTTCTTGCTCACTGCCCAAAAGATGGAGAAACACTGGCATGTGCTCCTTGCCCTTGACTCTCGATGGGGCCTCACACCCTGCTGCCCGCATTCCCCATCCTGTATTCTTCCCCAGGTTCTCAAGGCCCTGAATTCACCTCCACCTGCTGCCCCCTACCCTACCCCCATCCCTAGCCCTCCTAAAATATAAAAAGCCTCTCCCCACCCCCGTTGTTGGGGCCTTCTGCCACGTGTTCCATCATGTGCATGTGGGCCATTGGTCACCCACCTCTACGAATTTATTTTCTCTGAATAAATTCGGTCTGGCTGTAAATTTGTACACTGCCTCCTTTCTATTTGGCACCTCTTTTTCTAACATTTATGGTGCCCCATATAGGGAGGCACCAACCTGGAACTCTTTTCCTAACAGGAGTGAGGGAAGGGAGGAGGCAGGGATGAAGAGGGTGAATGGGAGGGGGAAAGGTGGGAGGGATGGGATGGGGAAGGAGGGAGGAAGTGAAGAATGAGGGAGGGAGGAAAGAAATAAGGGAGGAACAAAGGAAGGGAGGAGGAGGGAGGAGGAAGGGTTTGAGACAGGAAGGAAGGGAGGGGGGAGGGAGGGGGGAGGGAGCAAGGAAGGAGGAATGGAGGAAGGAACAGAGGGAGGGAAGGAAGCAGAACCCCACCTGGTGGAAGAAAATGGCTTCCTCCACAAACCCAGCCTGTAGGGCAGTCAGTTCCGGACCTTCCCTTCTCCCATTCAACAGGCCAAATCCTGCCTCCACGCAATCAAGTCTTTCAGTTTAGATACATTGCTTTTCCACAATGCAACCCTGAGTGGCACACACTCTGTCTTCCAACACAGCTGAGCTCCTGGAGGTTCAGTCTCGCAGCAACAGTGTCCCCCCCCCCCCCCCCCCCCCGGCAAAATTTAACCAATCCCCCACCCCTGGGGGTTTTACCCAATGGGGGGCGGGAATTCCCTTTTTTTTAAAAAGTTTCCATTCTCTGCAGGGACTTTGTTCGATCTTTCCTGCTGGTTTTCTCCACACGTGTAAGCTCCTTCCTAAGGCTGGGAAAAAAGGGAGAGATGAAGGTGGAGTTGGAAGAGGAGGAACAGAAGAGGGAAGGGCTAGCAGAGGCGATGGTGTGCGTCATGGCTGTCAACCAGGGGTGATTCTGCCCCCAGATGTCACTTGGAAAGGCCTGGAGACATGTGTGACAGTCGCCCTGGAGGATGCTCCTGGTCACTAGTGGGTGGGGGCCAGGGGTTGCTATTAAACACGCGACAAGGGGACTGGCCCTGTGGCGTAGTGGGTAAAGTGCTGCCTGCAGTGCCGGCATCCCATATGGGCACCGGTTTGAGACCCAGCTGCTCCACTTCCGATCCAGTCTCTGCTGTGGCCTGGGAAAGCAGTAGAAGATGGCCCAGGTCCTTGGGCCCCTGCACCTGCATGAGAGACCTGGAAGAAGCTCCTGGCTCCTGGCTTTGGATCGGTGCAGCTCTGGCCATTGTGGCCAACTGGGGAGTGAACCAGCGGATGGAAGACCTTTCTCTCTCTCTCTTCCTCTGCCTCTCCTTCTCTCTCTGTGTAACTCTGATTTTCAAATAAATAAATCTTTAAAAAAGAAAATTAAAACATTAAGAACACGCTACAAAACACAGAACAGTTGCCACAACAGAGAATTCTGTGGCCCATTTATGGAGTGCCCAGGCTGAGGAACCCTAGACTCGGTGGGGGAGAGCTGGGAGGCAAAGAGAAAGGGCTGGGCTGCTGGCTGCAGCTGTGATGCGGGCACAGAACCTGAGCTTGCTCCTCTGGGTCAGGTCCTCCTTCCCTGGGGCCCCCAGGAGCGGCTGCCAGCAGTCTCGGGAGCTGGAGTCTGCACCCTGGAGAATCTGCTGTCTCATCCATCTTCCTGGGTTCACAGAGCACTCGGAGGGCACGGCTGGGGAGCACACCGGGAACCCCGAGCTCCCGGCTGGCTGACAGCTCAGCTCCCACCTCCTCTGCCCTGCTTCTTCCCAATCTGCTGTGGAGGAAATGTGTCCCTAGGTTCCTGCAGGTGGTGGGAACCAAGCAGCTGGACGTTCTTACTCCGTGGGAACATTTTCTTTTTCTTTTTTCTTTTTTTTTGACAGGCAGAGTGGACAGTGAGAGAGAGAGACAGAGAGAAAGGTCTTCCTTTTTCCGTTGGTTCACCCTCCAATGGCTGCTGCTGTCGGCGCACCACGCTGATCCAAAGCCAGGAGCCAGGTGCTTCTCCTGGTCTCCCATGGGGTGCAGGGCCCAAGCACTTGGGCCATCCTCCACTGCACTCCCTGGCCACAGCAGAGAGCTGGCCTGGAAGAGGGGCAACCGGGACAGAATCCGGCACCCCGACCGGGACTAGAACCCGGTGTGCCGGCGCCGCTAGGCGGAGGATTAACCTAGTGAGCCGTGGCGCCGGCCCTCCGTGGGAACATTTTCAATTTCCATCTTTTTACACAGTTTGTGAGGTCCAATATCCCCCTTGACGGTCAAATCTTTTACATCTTTTACCCGTGCCAAGAGTGCAGTGCAAGGAGATCAAAACGGATTCCACCTGGCACCCAGAGGGTGCAAACCTCCAGCCCGTGCCCAGCCCTCACAGCTTTGCAGGGGGTGGGGGTGGGGAGATATCTAAATCCTATCCTCCAGGAATCCCTGATGCCCGGGAAGATCCCCTGGCGTATTCCCTGCTATAGGTGGGATTAACCCTTCCAGGAGCCCCACCTGGAGGTAGGTGGAGCGGCGAGGAGGAGACGGGAGGCTTTTACGAGCTCATGGTCGCATTTTCCTCCTTCCTGGGCTCCTAATGTTTCTGAAACACGTGCTGGGGATCCTCACTCCTGTTCTGGGAGCCCGGGGCCTGTCTGCCAGCATCCTCAGCCCCCTCTCAACCCCTGCTTCCTGCAGCCTGCCCGATGCGCACTCCCTCCCCAGGCGCCTTCACCTGTGCCCCTGGCTACACACACAATGCCCTTGTCCGGCACCTGCGGGTGGATGAGGCCAGTGCCTCCCCTGGGCGCTCAGGTGCTTTGGGATCCACGGCACGGCAGCGGAAATCCACCGGCCGTTTGTGCTTGCGCAGCCTCGCCAGCAGGAGGCGCCCCCGGAGCGCAGGGACACGGAGCTCCAGCACCGTCTCCGGTACGACCCGACACAGCACCCAGGCAGGGCTGGGGACCTGCAGCAGGGTCAGCGCGCATCCGGAGAAGCTTGGCTCCGCTTTGTGTGGACAAACTCCGGGAGACCCCTGAGGCCGGCGGCGTGCCCGTGCCTCCTGCTGCGGCACGGGCAGGGAGACACCGCTTGTCTTTCCTGGTCCTCTCATTTTTTTCCTTCTGCTACCGGACACCCACCCGCACGCTATCTCGCCTCCGCCCCCACGCTCACCGCACCGGCCTCGGGACATTTGCGGTGCATCCCCACACCAGCTGCGGCGGCCTCCTGAGCTCGCCCACCGCCCACAGCCGCCCCAGGTCCTGGAGCCCGCCAACCGCACCTGGACCTCCAGGGATCCCCCTAGGGAAATCGGCATACAGTGCTCTGAGCCCCGGTCCCCAGAGAGCCACACTCAGCTCCCCATTGTGTTGGGGTCCCGGGGTCTTCACTTCCCGCCCACAGATCTCTCCGGCCTCCTCCTCTGTTCCAGTGGCCCCAGCAGCCCCGGGAGGGGCGGCCCTGCCCTGACTCACTCGGCACACACTCCTGGATGCCAGTGTTCAAGCCCAGACGTGCGGCTGATGACGGCTGGACAGACCTACCCTGTGATGCCGCAAGTCCACTGCTGGGCAGACGAGGTCAGCGCACAGAGCTGTCTGCGTTCCTGGGTTCAGGGCAGCACGATCCCAGTGGCCCAGAAGCAGGGTCAACCTGAGTGTCTGTGGACACAGAATGGACAGAGAGGCCTTAAATATATGCAGGGGTTGCTCTGCAGAGTTTACACACAAGGGCATCGTATCTTTTTTTTTTTTTTAAGATTTATTTATTTATTTAAAAGAGTTACAGAGAGAAAGAGAAGCAGAAAGAGAAAGAGAGGGAGGGAGGTCTCCCATCTGCTAGTTCACTCCCCAGTTAGCCACAATGGCTGGAGCTGCACCAATCCAAAGCCAGGAGCCAGGAGCTTCTTCCGGGTCTCCCACGCAGGTGCAGGGGCGCAAGCACCTGGGCCATCTTCCACTGCTTTCCCAGGCCACAGCAGAGAGCTGGATCGGAAGCGGAGCAGCTGGGACTAGAACTGGTGCTCATATGGGATGCTGGCACTGCAGGCGGCGGCTTCATCCGCTACGCCACAGCGCTGGCTCTGGCATCTTATCCTTCACAACATGGATGAAGTGAAGTTATATCCTATACCCTATGTTGTGCGAAATTACATTAAGTGAAATAAGCCAGATGCAGAAAACAAATAGCACACAAGGTCATAAATGTGCAGTTTAGAAAGTCAAACACACAGAAGAGTAAGACGGTGGCCGCTGGAGCCCGGGTGTGCGGATATAGGGGAGACAGTCAAAACACACAGGGTGTCTGTTCTTTCCACAGGAGGTACAGGCTCAGAGATCCTGCATATATCATGGTGACTGTAGTTGGTGCCGATACACTGTTTACCTGAAAATTGCTAAGAAGGTGTACTGTCAGTGTTGCCCCCTTCAATGGTCAGTGGGGGAGGAAATGATATCTGAAATAGGCTGGTGTAGACATTCACAACGTCTATTAAAACATCATGTTTTACACCAGAAATATAGTTTTTCCCTGTCAATTAAAAATGAACTTAAAAAGGAATTCCCTTTCTTATTCCTTAGAGTGCTTATCTCCCAGTGTTCTCACTTTAGTTTGTTAACCCATGTATTCTGACTTGGTTCTGTAGGGTATTTTTCTGGGTATAGAGTCTGGGCAGCCATTACGCTTTATCTTCCACTGTTTCTGTTGAGAAGTTGGCTGGCTGTCTCCCTGCTCTTCTGAGATGAGTATGTCTTTCTCAGGCTTCTGTCTGAACATTTCTCCCTTCTCTGGAGTTCAGTGGCTGATCACGGTGTGTGCATGTGTGGTTTTCTTTGTACTTACCTGTGGGGCGTGTCTGTTACACTCTTGAAAATTTTTTAACACATATTAGGCAATTTCCTGCCTCCCTTCCTAGTCTCTCTCCATATGTAGTTTCAAGTTTCATTCTAAGTCAATGAACACTCGTTTACTCACTGTGAATAAGCCCCAAACCCCAAAGGCAGGAACCCAGAGATCTGTTCCCTCTCCGCTCACCCACTTCTCTGGCAGCTGACTCCCTCCTTCTGGCTCAGCTCTGTCTCCTCTGGTCTTTCCGTCTCTAACTCTTCTGATCTGATTCAGGTTCCCGGCTTTTGAGGGCCCCTCACCTTTGCCACTGTTTCCTGGTGTAATTTCACATGCACAATGTGCTGTGCCCACCTGGGCGGTGCTGTGCCCACCTGGGCCAGGGCGCCGGTAACCAGGGTCCCTCAGATACAGACCGGGAGGACAGAATGTGTGGGTCAGCAGCCTGGGTCTCTGGGTGCTTCTGTCCGCAGCTGGACTGCTACCCCCGGGACCCATGGATGCCACAGAAGCCCCCTCCATCTCCAAGGACAAGACAGAGACGGGTATCACGGACACGCCACTCTGCCTCCTGCAGGGCTGTGTGCTTTTAAAGACATGACAGACAACCAACGATGGGAGCACTTCACAGAGTTCACAGAAAAAATGGAGTTAAACAATGAGTTTATTTTAGAAAAATGTTGAAGTCTACACACTTTTTTTTCATAGTACAAATTCTCCATGAACTCTTTGAAGACCCCATATAGAGCAAAGTCTAGAACTAACTGAAAAGGGGACTCAAAGCCAGGATTAAGGACATGTGAAATACAGCAAATAAACAAATCTGAAAATGTAGATAACAAGCAATTAATTAGGGAATTACCATCATCTCCGGGTAAGGAGATGAACACTTGAGCTAGGCCAGGGACTATAGGACAGAGAAAAAGACTAAATTTTCTTATACATCTTAACTATTCAGTTACTTATCTATATGGGTCTTACAGCATTCCACAAGTATTTGAGGCAATTTCAATAAAGTTAATATAGGACACTGATAAGGCAGAAGCAGAGATGTGTGGGCCAAGCAGCTGGGGCCTTGTCCCCCTCCATGGGAGACCTGGGGTGAGTTCCCAGCTCCTGGTTCCTGCCTGGGCCAGCCCTGTCAGATGCGGGCATGTGGGGAGTGAACCAGCAGATGGGAGGTCTCCCTCTCCCCCCATCCCTCTCCCTCTCCCCCCATCCCTCTCCCTCTCCCTCTCCCTCGCCCTCTCCCTCTCCCTCTCCCTCTCCTTCCCTCTCACTTTGTCTCCTCTCTCCCTGCCTTTCAAATGGATAGACATATATAGATGATTGATAGATGATATTGATGATAGGCAAAATGTTTTTTAAAAGAGATAAGGATGGCCAGTGCTGCGGCTCACTAGGCTAATCCTCCGCCTTGCGGCGCCGGCACACCAGGTTCTAGTCCCGGTTGGGGCGCCGGATTCTGTCCCGGTTGCCCCCCTTCCAGGCCAGCTCTCTGCTGTGGCCAGGGAGTGCAGTGGAGGATGGCCCAAGTGCTTGGGCCCTGCACCCCATGGGAGACCAGGAGAAGTACCTGGCTCCTGCCATCAGATCAGCGTGGTGCGGCGGCCACAGCGGCCACAGTGCGCCGGCCACGGCGGCCATTGGAGGGTGAACCAACGGCAAAGGAAGACCTTTCTCTCTCTCTCTCTCACTGTCCACTCTGCCTGTCAAAAAAAAATAAAAATTAAAATTAAAAAAAAGAGATAAGGACAGGGCTGGCACTGTGGTATAGTGGGTAAAGCTGCCGCCTGCAGTGCTGGCATCCCGTATGGGCGCCGGTTTGAGATCCAGCTGCTCTACTTCCCATCCAGCTCTCTGCTATGGTCTGGGAAAGCAGTGGAAGATGGCCCAAGTCCTTGGGCCCCTGCACACACGTGGGAGACCCGGAAGAAGCTCCTGGCTCCTGGCTTTGGATCAGCACAGCTCTGGCTGTTGCGACCAACTGGGGAGTGAACCATCGGATGGAAGACTTCTCTCTCTCTCTGCCTCTCCTTCTCTCTATGTGTAACTCTGACTTTCAAATAAATAAATAATTAAATCTTAAAAAAAAAAAAAGAGAGAGAGATAAGGAAAAAGGCTGGCACCATAGCACAGTCGGTTAAAGCACTGGCCTGAAGTGCTGGCATCCCATATGGGTGCCAATTCGAGTCCCGGCTGCTCCTCTTCCATTCAAGCTCTCTGCTATGGCCTGGGAAGGTAGTGGAGGATGGCCCAGGTTCCTGGGCCCCTGCACCCATGTGGGAGACCCAGAAGAAGCTCCTGGCTCCTGACTTTGGACTGGTGCAACACTGGCCATTGCAGCTATTTGGGGAGTGAACCTGCAGATGGAAGACCTCTCTCTCTTTCTCTCTCTGCCTCTCTCTTTCAAATTAAAAAGAGAGAGAGAGAGAGAGAGAGAGAGATAAGGAAAGAAAGATACGGGGCCAGCGCTGTGGCGCACCAGGTTAATGCCTTGGTCTGAAGCGCCAGCATCCCATATGGGTGCTGATTCTAGTCCCAGTTGTTCCACTTCCAGTCCAGCTCTCTGCTATGGCCTGGGAAAGCAGTAGAAGATGGCCCGAGTCCTTGGGCCCCTGTGTGGTGGAATGAGAAGGTGAAAAGGTCATGCTAAGATGGCCGCTGAGGTGAGAGGTGAGAAGGTCATGCCAAGATGGCCACCTACAACAGAAACTGCCTGGCAACAGGCCATGATTGGATGGCTTCGGAAACCACATGACAACAGAGCCTGACTGAGAACAGGCTGTGATTGGATGGTTTCAGAAACTGCCTGGCAACAGAGCCTGCCTGGCAACAGGCTGTGATTGGATGGCTTTGGAGCCTGCCTGGCAACAGGCTATGATTGGTTAGGGCATAGACCTCCCCTTGACCAGACTGGCTGCCTTGGCTATATAAGCAGCTGTAGCAACTGAAATAAATGAGTCTTTGGGTTGCTCGCCTCTGGTCTGCTTTCACCCGACTCCTGGGGTCTGTGTGGTGACTCCGCACCTCTTGCTCCCACCATGCTCCTCCTCTCAGAAGGAATCCTTTCAGAACAAATCAACTGCAACACCCCTGCATCCACATGGGAGACCTGGAAGAAGCCCCTGGCTTCGGATTGGCACAGTTCCAGCTGTTGCAGCCAATTGTGGAGTGAACCAGCGGATGGAAGACCTCTCTCTCTCTCTCTCTCTCTCTCTGCCACTCCTCTGTGTATCTCTGACTTTCAAATAAATAAATAAATAAATAAATAAATAAATAAATAAATAAAAGAGAGATAAGGGAGACAACCAGGATAGCTCTTGGAGATCTTGCTTCTCCATCTCTCTCACTAAGCCTCCCTCACATCTTGTAACTGCTTTAAAACCACTTCCCACAGAGTATCCTTTGCCTCCAGAACAGCCTCTCCAACATCCCAGGAGTGTCCGACACGACCCTCTCCTTCCACTCCTCTTACGGGCACTGCACCTACCAAGGACCCAAGACTGCGCCCCCACTGTGTGGGGATCCCACGTGGACTCTCTACCCGCCCCTTACACATCAAGGCCTCTTTCCCCATCCTTTTACACCAGACTCAGAACCCGACCAGGAACCCTGGTTAGGTGACCCTGAGCTGATTCAGGCCAGATCTTCTGTCCGTGCACCTGCCCTGTTGCTCACCTCCAAGGTGGGCACGTGCACAGCATTCTCTGTGGATGCAGTTGTACTCTGGGAAGGGACATGAGCAAGCCTCTGATGCTAAGCTTTCTCTTTAGGCTGGAATCCATCTCCTCAACAGCCAGACACACTCCTGTTG